GTTTCTGTCCTGTAACTGCTTTTGTCCTGCCTTTTAGTTAAGCCCACTTGTCCTGGTGTACTAGTGCAGGAGATGCAGTGTGGGACTAACCCCTTAAAAGCTTTTTATTGTAGGGACCAAAACCACATATTGCTACATTGCTTGTGAGCTTGGCAACACTGAAATAAGAGAAGGCCAGCAAAAAGAGGGAAGCAATATTTTAGTGGAATAGACAGAGCTAATTGTTCTGATTATAAATTCTGTATTGTACTCAGGCAGATATAATAGCCTTTTATTACTTGCCTTGCTTTTAAATCCTCTGCTTCCTTTGTCATTTATACTTTTGCCTGGCTTGATTCATCTTGAAAAATCATAGTGATGTTTCACCATAAAGCACCAACTGCACCTTTGACAGTGACAGTGCTGTTATAATTTGTTTAATATCTGGAATCCAAGAAACTAAAGTACTATAGAGAGCTGCCCAACTTTTAGCATTGTGATTTCTACAGACAAGTTCTGGTGGGTAAAGAAGCATCAATGCCCCAGCAGTCTACTCCCACCACTGTGGTGGAGGTGCAGTCATCCATCACATTCACATGGACCCACCTGCATGAGGGCAAGGAAGTGGAAGGACAGACAGAAAGCAAGGGAGGCATAACATGTTATCCTGGTATTTGCCAGGACTCACACACCAAGGGCTAGATGCATAGAGAAGTTACAAAGCATTAAATCTATCGCATTCGTGCCCCACATATCAGATGAAGTCCCTAAGAGGAGAGCTGGGGGTGCTCACTCTCTTTATATCCCCCTCTCTTCATTAGTTCCAGAAATATATTTTTAAAATATCTGTTCAAAGAACAGGAAAACCATTTCCCCACCCTTTTTGGATTCTAAATGATGTTGCTACATTACGAAGTCAATTCAAGATTGGCCATACAAAGTGCTATTAGTGTAATGCCTGATAATAGTTTAGAGCAGCAGAAAGTGCCTTAATGCAAATATCATGTTGCAGGAAGCGGGGTGCTTTACAATAGCTGCTGTGTTGCTGCTTAGATGTAGACCGTTATTTTCTTGATTAGCAAATGTAGTGTCTAATTTTTGTTTGAATCAGTAATGGAAACCAGAAATGTAGCTACCAAGCTTTGGGAACTATATTTTCTTACATATTGCTGGTGTGATAAAATATGTTCAAAATTAGGCAATAGGCTATAATTGAACTCTCTTTGATTTGGTTTTACGGTTTGTAAGTCTAAATCCATTGAGTTGAAGGCATATAGAAAGTTGTCAGTAAAGCTATCCTGTTTGAAAGGGAAGGGTGCTTTAAAATTTTCACTGAATTAAATGGCAATTTTATTTCCTTTTGAGACGTTAAGCTCATTCCTAATAGGTGCTGTCTGAAAAAGTTGCGGTAGTGGCCCAAAACTTGACTGTGTAATTTTCATCAAAGTAATTTCCAGATATGTATGTACATATATGTGAGCATGTGTGTGTTTGTCGAAGCCAAAGTATCAACACATGTGGAAATCCCAGTTTATGGCAGGACCTGTGTGGTGGCAGTGTCAACAATGTCCTCTTGTTCTTCTTCATTGCCCACTCAAAAAACCCCCTATTTTTCTGAACAGTACCTATCCACACATTCTTTATTCCCTGTGATGTTTTAGGACTTGTGTGCTTCGCCTTCAACTTTTAGGATGGTATATACATACTCTTTCCCCATGCCTACTGCATTAAAAGCATTTTTTTATTCCTGCTACCTCAATTTCATTACTTTCCTATATACTGCAGTATCTGGCTTTGATAACTCTCTCTTCCAAAATCAGCGTTGACTTTTTCCTGGCTACTTGACAATGGTGAAAATTTTCAAAGTAACTTAATCTTCTAAATTAAATCCACTTGATTTATTTATTTTAAGGCCTTTTGTCTGTCTTGATCCTTCTTGATTTTTATCCTGCTTCGTCAGCCATTAGCACCTGAGTTCCTCCAAGATTTAAGAGATTTCCTATTCTTACGTTACCTCAGTGGTCTTCCAGTGGCTTCTGTGACACTTCCTTTGTCATTGGATTATACAGTTTCTTCTTGTCTATTAAGAGTTTAACAGATTCAGAGTGCTATGTAAATAATAATATTTGAGGCAGCAAGCATTAATTTCAAAAAAGTCTATATGTAATAGAATTTGGTCAGTAGAAGAAAAGATGCAAGACTTTGAGTGTGACTACGTGCAATGAGATAAGCTTGCTAGTGAAATCCACTTTTATGGCTGGAAAACGTTTTTAAGGATGGTTAAATTAATTTTCATTTGGATTATGTCTGCATACAGATTCAACTTTCTTTAATGAATGCACTCTAAACATCCCACTTAAGTTAGTTAATAGTAACTTTCTGTAAGCGTCCCTAAGAAAGCATGCCTTCTGTGTAAATGCAAGTGTTTTGTAATATATGATGCATCTCTTTGTGTGGAATTTGTCAAATGCCTTTTTAGACATTTGTTCTTCTAGTCTCCTCAACATCCTTTATGAATACTTTTCACATCTAAATTATGTGTTACATAGTAAAAAAAAGTACTTCTTGTTTGATAATAATTTCTTTGATTTCCTGAGTTCTTACGTTACATGAAATACCATTATTTTGTAGACTGAGATAGATGAGAACCTAAACAGACGACTTAGTTTCTTTTATTTTTTTTCTTTTTTTTTTAAAGAAAAAAACCCAAGCATTGTCTATATTTTTTGCATGCAATGCATGGTTGGGTTTTTTCGTATTATCATATACCTTCTTGAAGTTTGCTGTTAAAAATATGTAAATGAAAGAGAATATGTAGTTTAATCATGTTACAGATGCTGTGTTTATGAAATTGTGTGCCTTATAACTTTCCACTTTATTTTTATGGCACTAGTAATAATTGATCCTACATTCCTGTGCTCGTTGTTATACAATTTAAGTTTTAGACTCTTGAAATGCTCTGAAATTTATTAAGTTTATTATGCTCTGAATTTAATAAGAAGTTGGGATATAGGAATTTCTGGTATGTTTACATGCCTCAGCAGTGTTCGGTGACATGATTTGGTTGCCAAGGCATGGGTGTGTAGTACCTGGCTTATTTATAGCCACTGCTCAGGGTGGGGAGACACAGGGGACTTCTGTGATAAGTAGTATTAAAGTCATGAGTAATATAAATAAATATTCCTTGCAAATATCAAGATTGTCAGGAGTCTTTGGCAGCTGTTGTTGCTTAATGATCATTTCACAACATCTAGTTACAGGTTAGCATCAGTAATGAGCATGAGGGAAGGACAGATGCGAAATGCAGAGTTTTGGGTGGATTTACCCTTATTTAGTCAGTATTATAATGTCATGCTATTTAATAGGAAATAATCTGGTGGGTATATTTGCCCAGAGAAGATTTTTGAGTCCACTGAAACCTGGAAATTCCAGCAGAATGCTAATTGTTGTTGGAGCCAGAGTCATGTTATGGTGTAATGGCTTTTCTGGGCTTCATTTGATGACCTGGCCTAGGAAAAACATTTTGAAGTAATAAAGCGTCTGTTTGGCTCCAAACTAATGAGAGAAGCATTGCTCTTTGCATTAACTGTTCTTTAGGAAGAGCTGTGGAGAGCTGCTAATAAACCTTATTAAAAAGCTTAAGCAAGATTGAAGGAAATAGAAAACAGAGAAACTATTCCGTTCCATGTGAAGGGAGTACACAAAAAAAAAAAAAAGCAAGCATGCCCACAGGGTTTTTGCCTCCCCTCCATATGACTTGCAGCTTGCTGCACTTCAGTTACATTGCCTCTTGAGATGTGTTAGAGTGCAGCTCAGTTTAATGAAGAAGTGGATAGGACAAATCAAGGCTAGAGGCTACTTACGGCAGAGCTTGGGTAAGCAAATGCAGCTTTAGACAAGTGTTTACTAATATTATGCAAATGTTAAAATGTCTAAAACAATAATTTAAAATATTTTAAAACAGTACTCAGAGCTATCCTTTTTTTGTGGTCTGTCCTTTGTTTTACTTAAGGAATTTGCAAGTGTGGGTGGTACATACTATGCAATAGATTTATGCATGAGACTGATAAAGGATTTAATTTTATTTTTCAGACTTCCTACAGCAAAACATCTAACTTTCCTTTAATTTCATGCACTTATTTTGTTTTAAAGTCTTTTCTATGTAAGTAACTGCTTTGTCTATTTTAGTGCAGTGCTCAAAATAATTTCTGTGGGAGTTAGCTGATAGTTTCTGGTGCCTTCCTGTTATTTTAATTATTTTTCTATGAGTGAGAGGGGAAAACAGCTTATACTCTGAACTTCCTAGAAACGGCATTTTCAGATTTCTAGAATCCAACTCCAGACCACTGAAAATTCCCCAGCATCAACTTTTTCCGGGAATTCATTCAACCATCCTAGTAGGATATGATTTCAGCTGTTTACTTTTGTTCTCTGTGGTTTTTTTATAAAGATCTGTATGTATTCCTATAATGAGCTTTATATAGATATTTTTGGTTTAAATTTATGTATGTTTAAATGTGTGTAAATTCATTAATACACAAGATAGAGAAATATGATGAAAGCTTTTTTTGTGGTTTAAGACTTCCAAGCTTCTAATTTTGATCTGTTTTTGTCTCCAGTGATTGGAGAGGACCTTGCAGTTGCTATAATGCTGTTATGAAACAGGATTGCAATCTTAGTCAATTAGTAATTTCCAGACCAATTGTTTTAGCAATTTTAGTGCCTGCCATTAGAGTATTTAAATCTCAGTGCATAGAAAAAGAGCTGAGAAGGAGGAAAGATCAATACAGATTGTAAAGACCTATACCAAAGCCCGATTCGAATCTTAGGAACTGAAAAAGGAAAAGCAAACTCCTTCATTGTCGGTAGTGTATTAAATAAAATATTTTAAAGCATTTAATAACTTGTGATCTAGGATGTGTCTTCCTGTTGCATCATCTTGCAGGAAAGAGTATGTTGAGTGTTATAGTCTACCGTGATTTTTACTGTCAAGATTAATCAAAATGCCTTATCTTTTTCAGATAATCACTCCATTTAGGAGGCTAATATTGTGTGCTGAGAACAGGAAAGAAATGGAGGACTGGATAAGCTCTCTGAAGTCTGTTCAGTCTAGAGAACACTATGAGGTAAGTTGACATCCCTCTTGGTGTAGCCTATTCTAATTCAACAGCTACAGGACACAGAACTGGAGTATTCACCCTCTTTAGTGTGAAAAGTGTGTCTAATGTCAGAGTGAGGTTTTGTGTTAAGACCTTTACTAGCAAAGTGAGACCTTATTATCACACTTTTATTTAGAAGTTTAGAGGGAAAGCTGGCTAAATACCCTTTGAAAAAATACTTTTTGAATATCGCATTGCCATCCCCTGTAATATGGAACCATAGGTAATTTCAGTCACCGTAGCTGTGTTCTGTACTTGCAAATTTGTCTTAACTTCTCCTTTACTAGACCGCACAGTTTAATGTGGAACATTTCTCAGGGATGCATAACTGGTACGCCTGCTCCCATGCCCGACCTACATTCTGTAACGTGTGTAGAGAGAGCCTCTCTGGAGTCACTTCTCATGGCCTGTCTTGCGAAGGTAAAATAAACGCTTTCTTCCCCCGGTTTAAAACACTTCCTATGTAGACAAATGGCTGAGTTTGAGACGAGTAATCATTGTGGAAGTAACGAGTAAGAAAAAAAGCTGGAAGGGAGAAATCTGTTCACTCGAGTGACTTTGGGGCAGAGGGACTGCTGATGATCTGGCTCACCTTCCTCGTGCTCCAGGTGCCTTTTTCCATCATATTAATAAAACAGGTCCTTCTGCTGCAGTGACCTGTTTGGAATGTGCTGGGTGAACAGTTTGCAAGAAAATACAGGATTTATTTGATTTGCCTGTCAAAAATGGGAAACAAAAGGGTCTTACTCATTTACAGAATCAGCATTCCTCGGGGAAAAAATCATAGTGGTATTTTCTGTCCCGAATCTATAGAAATTCTTGACACTTTGTTCAACACTGTGACCTCTTCCCCTTTGATTCTTGTTTGCTCTGTAACTGCTGCCTGATCCTGCAGTACAGGCTGGACAGATTCATTGCTTTACAAATTGTCATGCAGTGACGGGCTAGAGATGGTAGAGATGCCTTTGCATTTCGATGGTTCAACAGACGAAATCCAGCACAAAGAAAAAGGAAGAGCTGCTAAGACTTCAGCATTAAGGCTAACTGGAGGAATGATGTTTCACGAACAAGTATTTGTAATAAACCTGAAACAGCTTATTTATTTTCTGCTGCAAGTTCTGTGAAAAAGTGGTAACAAGTCTGCTTGTGTTAGAATCCAGCAGAAAACAAAGCATCCATGTGACCATATGGTTTATATGACATGTAGAGATATTTCATTACCAAAATAACTGATCAGAAAAGAGTTCTAGTTGCAGCATTCAAAACTTGATTTTCTGGATGCATGTTACCCAACTGCAAATGCATATCTGTTATTGGTGCAATTATAATATTTGATATCTGAGCATGATAATGTGTATTAAGGAAATATTTAACCCACTGTCCTGAATTGTCCACACTTTTAATGTAGCTAATGGTGCAGTTGCCAAGGAATGGGACGAACTCATTTCATAGAAACTAGAAATAGCATAGTTACTTCCAGCTTCTCTGGTGTATGTTTTCAGCGGCGTATAAGTAATTTTAACAGTTTTAAGGCAATTATGATATTTTCAATATTGGATATTGGCAGATGGAAGTATCATGGGCTTAACAAAAATGTTGTTGTATTGCCTCTGTGTACAAATACAGTTGTATTTTCTCAGGCAACGGAAAGACTTCTTTCTTTTCATAAAGAATTTATCCTTTCATAAGTTAATATTATAGCTATTTTAAGGCACTGTTTAGCAAGAGTTATTCTTGTAAGATTAGCAGCATTAATGGTTGTAGCTCGTAGTTTTCTGGTTTTTTTAGTGTCTTGTTTTGCTTCTAAGTATGGTTTTAATTTCCAAAGTGTTGGTGTTAATTTTACATTAAGGAAGTTTCCTCAATTTCCAGGTCTGGACTTTGTCAAAATTTGCATAATATATTACAAACTAATGCTGCATTTATCCACATTTCTGGTGTCAGATGATCTTTCAGTAGTTTTTACAACTGGCTCGTGAAGGTAGTTTGGATTTGCTTTCACAGTTTCATGACAGGTCATTCACAGGTGTGAATGTGTATGACCAGGATCAGTTTCTATGTAGATACTTTTACTTTTTATTGGCGTACCTCCTCTTACTTCTTATCTACTAGTCTTTATCTATCGTCATTATTTTTTCCCAAGCATTTTTTACAATCAAAGGAGAACTTTAATAATGTGTCTAATCTTAGTCATTTGACAGTTGACTATTCTACTGGAATAACCTGTGTTAACCATCCTTAATTTCTTAACCTAAGAAGTGTATTTTGGTTTAATACTACTTCTTTCTCTGAAATTCTTTTATGACTGAGTTCATATTTACTTGCTTCTGCCATCTTCACTTCTAATGCGTTTCACCATCTATTTTTTTGACTTGCCCCGTGTTAGCAATATACACTGTTTGAGGAGATGATGTAGGAAGTATGGAGTCTTAAAATTCCCCAGACATCTTCTGTGCTACTTTTTCTCATTACATCTTTAAAAACACCTGTTTAAATATTAATGCCTGGCATCTGAAAACGCCAGCAGTGCTTTACGCTGGGAATCCATTTGTATCTATGCTGAATTCAATTATTTGTGTGGTCATTGATCCCACGCTAGCCTATTATGTCTTGTTTTGAGAAGCACGAGAGGCTTCTTCTCAAGACATACTTGAGCTCTTCCTCCTCTCAGTGGTTTGGGTTACTGGCACACCAGTATCTTGGAAGTAGGTTAGGATGTTTGTACTCTTTGTGGTCTGATTCTTCACTATTAACTGTAGGTAAAAATAAAGATAAATCCCACTGCTGATTTTTTGCAGCATATGATACTTTAGAAGATCAGTCCTGTAATATTTTATTCTTTTTTATTTAGTCTGGTCTCCAGCAGTGCTATACAGCTGTTTGGTTTTTTTAATCTGACCACACAACAAGCTTCATTTCTTTTGGACATGAGAGGAGTGCCTTCATTTTTCAAGGCACCTTCCCTCCCAGTATCCTTCAGCAAAGGTTGGTCAAATTAATTGCGGACCACCCTGTAAGATTTATGGAAACCAGTGCAGGAAAAGAGAGTACATTAATATCTTTGCTAGGGAAGAGACTATAGCAGGATCTTGCATCTTTTTAGAAGTCAAAGAACCAATATGTATGTCAAACTGAAGATGTAAATTCATATCAAAGCAGACTTCATTCTGTAATTCTTTTGTGTCATGTCAAAAGATAACATACTTTACAAATGCTGTCTGTGTGTTTGATTGCTCTAGCTTGCCCTAAAGGACTGTTCTCTGCAACGTTCATCCACAGTCTTTACTAGGATAGAGAAATTATCATCTTTTTGCCTTGATTTGGAAATTAGTCCAAACTAGCTGAATCAAGCAAAGCTTTGATCTTTATGCTCATCTTCAAATGTTTGTCTTATTCAGAGTTGATTTGCTGTATGCTCAGGAGTCTACGCCTAAGAAGTTGTCAGGTAAATACAGGGATACGTGGAATGTTTAGGCAAAAAAACTAAAGAATTATAGATCATTATCTACAGAAGCATTTAAAGCTCTCTAGCCTCAATAATTCTGTATTAATACTGCATTTCTATCCAAGCCATTGCCAGTGGAACACTGTTCTTTTGATTATTCTAAAAAATATATTTCTTCATTTAGAGTGTTCATTATCGTGACCAAATCTTGATTGTTGAATATTAAATATACGTAGTGAACTTGAAGGTGCAGTTTAAATGCAGTGGTTTTTTTATCCCATGATGAATTGAATAAACAAAATAATATTGAAGGAACACTTTAGGATGGTGAGGTCAAGCAATAAGAAGATACTGGGATTAAATTACCTCTGCAGATGCACTTTTTGCAGTTGGTCTTTTTTCATTATGACTGGGTGGTTTTTTTCCACACAAAACCCCATTACTCTTGCCCACTGCACCAGACATTGTATAGGCACTACTTGGGTAGTCATTTTCTGCAGGATTTTGGCAACAATTTCAGCTCAGGCTGGAAAGCAAGTAGGGATTGGAGCACTCAGGAAGAGAAGGGATGTTCCTTGTTCATTAGGAAGAATTTCTTTACTGAGAGGGTTGTCAGGCATTGGAACAGGCTGCCCAGGGATGTGGTTGAATTGTCAGTCCCTGGCGGTGTTTAAGAGAAGGGTAAATGTTGTGCTGAGGGCCAGGGTTTAGTGGTGTTGATAGGGCTAGGACAAAGGTTGAACTCAATGATCTTGAAGGTCTCTTCCAGCCAAAACTCTTCTATGATTCAATGTTCTATGATTGTTAAAGAATTCAGGAAGAATAGAAAACTGTGTTCTGTGACTTTGAATCACACTGTGCCCCTCTGTAGTCCTGGGAAAATCACTTAAATAAGATTTTTGATCAAATCAGTGATTGTGTGTTTCTTCTAATATGAACGCTGTAACAAATGCTGAGTTTAGTATAATTGCAAAAATTAGTTGAAGCTGTTCTGGAACCACTGATACAGTAAAAAAAAGGTCTTCATCATCATCATAATTATTATTATTTTAAAAGTCCAGGAAGAAATGAATATTTGTGTCTAAGAAGCAGTATTCGTTAACTTTTGGTAAATAAGGCAAATACCTGCTGAAAGTTATTGCTGTCCAGAATACGGCACAGCCGCGTACTTGTCAAGAACCATCCATTGCATGCAGTGAATGAGGGTACTGTTTTCAAAAAGTGTATGATCATATAACTCAAGGCTTTACACTTGGAAGTGTATTGCAAAGTTAAGTTGCATGAGTAACTTTGTAGTACTTGACTTTTAATAGGAGTATTCTTTCAGCATTCAGTTTGTAATATTAAATTAACTTATTTATTTGCCTGAAAATAGTAAAAACTATAAAATTTTAAACACTACCAAGAAATGGTTGATTTTTGTCCTTTATAACATACACATAAGCTTCAAACTGGAGTGAAGTCAGGCTGCCGTTTTCCTGTGAATCACTCTGTTTTCACTGTGGCTTATCCGTCCATCATGTGGTAGTATTCTTGGAAACAGAGAAACAGTTTTCTTGGAATACCTGAAGACAAATCCTTCCATCTTGACAATTTAAATTTACAGATACCATCTCAGGGGTCTTCAGATCAGTTTCAAAACTTCAGCTTTGGCCTTTGAAGTTGGGAAAGAACAATCTGAGCCATTTCTTCCTAGAAGAACAGAGAAAAGAAAACTCGTTGTAAAATAGGTGGTAGAGTGGTAAATTTTTGGGGAAAAAATTTGAGTGTCCTGCTAATGTAGTGAATTAATTGATGGGTGACGGAAGTGTTGTATAACAAAGGTGTATATTTTCAGTGCAAGAGATCCTATGATAACTGACTTCTTTATGATCATATTTTTTATAATAATAATTTTTCTTCTATAGTGATAGCTCTAGTCTGTGTCTGACAGCAGTTGTTGGTAGCCCTGTTTGCTAATACAGTCATTCTCCTGGTCGGTTTTCTGAGAGACCTGTTTCAAATTCCAGCTAGAAACTTTTACACAGGAAATTAAAATTGAAAATAACTTTCTACAAATACTCTAGATTTGGTTTGGCTAAATTTTTCCTATTCTCATCTTTGAACTTTCATTGGCAAAGTAATAGGAATTGATGTCTGGCAGTATGTCTGCATGTTTCCAAAATTTTCCAGATATCAGACTGATACATGAATGGGATGCAGTGTCATCTGACATGAAAGAAATGGGAAGGGAGTGGTAACTAAAGTTGAGATTTGATTTAAAGTTTTCCTTTCTATACCTGTCTCTTCTGTACTTCTGTGTGTTTTGCGTGGAAGCTACATCTGTATCTTAAAGTCAGTGGTTTTGCCAATGTTTAATGCTCAGAGAAGTGTGAATTGTTGTTTGGTGATTTTGGGGTTGCAGGGGTGTGAACTACAGGAAGTCTGACGTGAGATTTGTGCAGTTGCATACTGTACCCACAAAGCAAACAGCTGTCACTTGTCATCCATGGTGTGGCTTACTGCAGCTCTTCAGATTCTGGGTTTGAGTTTGTCTTTGCCTTGTTGAGAGAGCAGAGGTTGAATACAGAGTCTTGAGATCTAATTGAATCATAGCTCAATCAGGTTTAAAAATTCCTTTCCTTTTTTATACCTTCTTTAATCTGGAATTTTCTATTGCCCCTCATCCCTGATTTGTTGTGTTTTGAGTAAGAAGCTGGATTTCATAGTCTGTCTTCAAGCCCATCATTGAAAAGGCAGCCTTTATTTCTGTGCCTCTGTGAGCGCTGACATTACATGCTTGGAACCACCTTAGGCTGGCAAACACAGAGTATGATGCTGAGCTGTTTTGAAAATGTGAGCCCACCTTGGTAGCAGAGGAATATGGGATGTTTGCACACTTTGGGTCTATGAAAGCTGCTTTTCAAAATGAACAGAGGAGTTACTGTTTAAAGCAAAAGAACTCCTTCTTCTGGTTCCTTCTTGCTCTTTGAGCTAAGCACATACTTGCACGCACGTTCCAGAACAGTGAGGATTGCTCTCAAACTCAGATGTTGCTTACATAGTCTCAATTCACTTTTTAAATTGATCTGGCAATGGATCAGTGGAATTAAAATGAGCAATTTATGATTCACAAGACCTTTTGTACCATGGCTTAATGTTTTTTAATGGTGGACAAGCAATGGGCCAAAGCTTTTGATAGTTTCCTGTCAAATATTTGTTTGAAAAGAGACTACTACTTCTGGTCTGCTGGCTAGTTCTCATGGACGTTTAATGGTCTTTGCCAAAATAATTTATATAATGTACTCTTAAGAGGAATGATGCCATGTGCTTCCAGTAAAAGAACTACCCACAGTTGGTGCGTCAGTCTGTTTGGCCTAGTCTGATATCGTTAACTAGTCATATTAATTGAGTCGAACAAAATACAAATAGTTATTAGACTCAAAATATCTGCCTGTGCTACACACTTGTGCTGAGTGTTCCAATTAGTAGTTTTTTAATAAACAATCCAATAAGAAGTCAGGCTCTTCCTTATTTACTGTAACCTCTTGGAAAATACGGTAACCACCAACATCGTGAATAAATATGTCACCACATAACCCTTCACTTTCTCAGCTTCTGAGCAAAGAAACAGAGCTCCTGAAGCAAAATAGTTCCGTGAAACGCTGGGCCATCACCTCTTGGAAATTTAAACCAGGTGTCTTGAGTTGTGTCGCTGAAGGAATAGAGAAGGCAAAACCAGTTAAAGATACATTTGTACCCTAGTACCTTGCATTGCATTTGCAAAAATGGGGACTGATGTGGATTTGCGAACACACTTAACATAGGTTACAGCTAAGCATTTAAACTCAGTTTAGAGTTAAAGCTGGAGTGATTACAAACTGAATTTTCTTTTAGTTGAGTAGTGTCATGTGTACAACACTAAGTGACACGTACTTGACTGTTTTATGGAATATATGTGTTTAATTTTTTTAAAGATATGTATCGCTGAAATACAGCTAATAACATAATGTACATGTTTACATGTGCCTTCCAGTGTGTAAGTTTAAAGCACATAAAAGATGTGCTGTCCGAGCAACAAATAACTGCAAGTGGACTACATTAGCCTCAATTGGAAAAGACATAATCGAGGATGAAGATGGTGTAAGTATTATTCATGTTTATAACATTTTCCAAAGCTGTTTCTTCTTTATGGGGAAAAAAAAAAAAGAAAAGACTAAGCTTAGAACTATTGCCATGTGACCCATTGAGGTCAATGGTAGGTGGCTATATTCCTGAACACTTTTTAGAGATTAACGTGGTATTTAGAACAAAAGTTACATTCCTGTCTCACAGGACAAGTTTAGGGCACCAGGTTGCAGCTTCGTTACAAGATTTTAAAGGCCACATGCAGAGAAACTCTGGAACTGGAGAACTGCTCCCAGGAGTTCCTACTGCTCCTCAGCAAAGGAAGTATTTTATACTTTCACCATGCTGTTTTGGCAATTTATTTTGTGTCCTCCATACCAATAACTGTGGCCATGGCTGGCTGAACATGAGCCAGCAGTGTGCCCAGGTGGCCAAGACGGCCAATGGCATCCTGGCCTGGATCAGGAATGGTGTTGTCAGCAGGAGCAGGGAGGTGATCATGCCCCTGTACTCAGCTTTGGTGAGGCCTCATCTCGAGTGCTGTGTCCAGTTTTGGGCACCTCACTACAAGAGGGACATTGAGGTGCTGGAGAGGGTACAGAGGCAGCTGCCAAGCTGGTAAAGGGCTTAGAACATAAGTCTTATGAGGAAAGGCTGAGGGGTCTGGGGCTGTTCAGCCCAGAGAAGAGGAGATTGAGGGGAGACCTCATCGCTCTCTACAACTACCTGAAGGGAGGTTGTAGAGAGACGGGGGTTGGTCAGTTCTCCCTAGTGGAGAGTGATAGGACAAGGGGAAATGGATTTAAATTGCGCCAGGGGAGGTTCAGGTTAGATATTAGGAAGAATTTCTGTACTGAAAGTGTTGTCAGGCACTGGAACAGGCTGCCCAGGGAGGTGGTTGAGTCACCGTCCCTGGAGGTGTTTAAGAGATGGGTGGATGTTGTGTTGAGGGGAATCGTTTAGGAGGTTGATAGGGCTGAGACAAAGTCTGGACTCATGATCTTCAAGGTCTCTTCCAGCTGAAATTATTCTATGATTCTATGAACTGTTCCCCAGGAGATATGTTTGGAATTCACTGAGGTGTGGAGGGGTTTTTTAGTGATGAAAGCATGAATTTTAAAATTAGCAGGAGAATTGACAGAAGCTTTACAGAGGTTTATTGTAGTAGACGAGTTATTTTTACAAACACAACTGCATATGTGCCACTGGTGTGAAAATTCTTTCTAGAAGGATTGTTGCACACCTGTGAGTGGCCTGAGTTGCCCATGATATTAAGGGGACAAAGGGTGCACTGAGTAGAGGTTTGCACTGCATTTAGGAACTGCTTTGTGAGTTACTAGCTGTGGTGGAGGAGTTATCTATGTCCACAGTGGCATTCTGCTGCCCTTTCTATTCTTCTGAATTTTATTTATCTGAATTAGTTTGTGTCTCGTGGTCAACATTAAGTGAATGGGTACTTGTTTCTATTATGGTGTCTGTAGATTTAATCATCCCATTGTTTTGTGGCTGTTTGCTACCACAGTACTACGAATAGTTGAATGAAAAGTGTCTCCCTTCTCCAGCTCTCACATTTTCTGCCTTGCATGTGAAACTCCACCATAGTCCACAGTCATAGCTGTTGCCTTGCGAGCATCAGTGTCACTTACCCTGGTCAGCCTTGCCTGCTTCTTTGGTGAAAGGGCAGAGCAGTGGGAAACAGTTTAAATCCACCTGTATTTGAGAGGTAAAAACTTCTGATTTGTATTTCTGAGTATTTAACTTCTATGATGACTTCTTCACAGATAGCTATGCCTCACCAGTGGTTAGAAGGAAATCTGCCCGTCAGTGCCAAATGTGCAGTCTGCGACAAGACTTGTGGCAGTGTTTTACGCCTGCAAGATTGGAAGTGCCTTTGGTGTAAAGCTATGGTAGGTGCAATGAACCGTGTTCAAGCGTTGAGGATTTTGCCAGCTGCATTGCTCGCCATTGTTTTTTTTTGTCATTTCATAACTGCACTTTTAGATTGAGTAGAAGCAGGCAGCTTATGCAAACTCAGGTCTCTGACGTTCATAGTTTCTCACGACTGTTCTACTTGCTTCAGTTAATTTTTAGCACGCCCACAGATGCAGCTTTTCTGTAATAGGTGTTGTCATCCAATGTGTTTTCTCTGCCTTCTCCTAACTGATAGCTGAAGGTTCAGATTCTTGTTCCATATGCCTCGTAACCATGTTGCATTCTTGTCTCTTTTATTGTAGATATTGCTGTAATACCATTTTAATAATATTAGTGATAATGATATTTATTAATGTTAGTGTAGTAATATTTTTTATTACTACAAAATTTTGAAGTTCCCTTCTTCAGGGCATTGTAGTTACTGATTGAAATTTTATTAAAAGTTATTGCCATTTCCTCAAAATATAGTTTTCTGTTAATCTCTTTAACTTGTCTAAAAAGATGTGTTTTGTATGCTAAGATGTAGAAGTGGAAAGTCAGCAATTTTTTTTATTGCTGAATCTTTCAGCATGTAGGTGTCTGAGACTCTGTGTGTAGGGAGTGGGAAACAACTGGCATCTCCAGAGGTGATTTGACATTTAGGTGAAGTGGAGCACCCTCTGCATGTACCTGTTTATCCAATAACTACGGAAGAGACATCCACAATGCGTAGTTTCTGGGACTTAATCTTTGGCAGCTGGATCTGACTTAGTAGGTGTGGAGACACATCTTCCAGGACAGGCGGGTGGACCAGGCATGTAGCGAGCTCTTTGTGCCTGTTGCCCCCAGCTGCTGGACACTGACTGGGAGCCTGGTCCTCCTTTGCTCATGGATGGAGGTGATTCCCTTGAAAGGACTATTTGCATCTGCTGTAGGAGTAACTGAAGATAAAGTATCGCAGTATCACAGAATTACAGTATGCTAGGGATTGGAAGGGACCTCAAAAGATCATCTAGTCCAATCCCCCTGCCAGAGCAGGAACACCTAGATGATGTTACCCAGGAAGGTGTCCAGGCGGGTTTTGAATGTCTCCAGAGAAGGAGATTCCACAACCTCCCTGTTCTGTGAAATGAGTGACAAGCCTTTGTGGTTGAACACTCGTAGGCTTTTTTCCCAGTCTTGCTCCTCTTCCCTCTGCACATAAATGTTATATATTAGTCCATTTCTGATGCGTGGATACTGTATCAGTTACGCTTTCCCTGCAGAATTCCA